TTGGGACTTGAATTGAGTGGGCAGAGGTTTATTTGGGTTGTTAAGAGCCCAAATGAGACAGCTAAAAATGCAAATTATTTTAATGTCCAAGGCATTGAGGACCCTTCTGGTTTTTTACCGCATGGGTTTTTGGAAAGGACCAAAGAGGTAGGCCTAGTGTCCCATCTTGGGCCCCACAAGTGCAAGTGCTGAGTCACGGGTCTACGAGTGGGTTTTTGACCCATTGCGGGTGGAACTCAACATTGGAGAGTATTGTGCATGGTGTGCCTTTGATTGCTTGGCCGCTCTATGCAGAGCAGAAGATAAACAAGGTGCTACTAGTTGATGGTTTGAAGGTTGCTTTGGGGGTGCAAGTGAATGAGAAGGGCATAGTTGAGAGGCAAGATATTGCTGAGGCTGTTAGGGCACTGATTGAAGGAGATGAAGGGAAATTGCTAAGGAGCAAAATGAAAGAGTTTGAAGAGGCAGCCAAATTGGCTTTAAGTCAAGAAGGGTCTTCTACCAAGTCACTTGCTGAGGTGGCTCAGGTATGGAAGAGCCTCAAAACCTAATAAACCCAAAATGTCTCAATTATTGCTTTCATAATAATGATGAGTTTATACTTTAGGGATGCAAACTCAATCTGTATTTGAATTTAGGGATGTAAGTCAGTAGATTGAGATTTTGATTTGGGATACTTCAATATAATCCCTAATTCGAATACAACATGACTTGATTCGTATGAAGTTAATTATGCATGCACACGAGGTCTCGTGTTCAAATCCCTCTTTTATTGATTGTATAAAAATAGAATAAAGTGAACTCATTATCGCTTCAATAATCAAATTATCATTCATCATTATGATTGCTAAAGTACATACTGTTTTTTTTTAAAAAGATAGAAGGTAAAGTACGTACTATTAACAAGTAATATTACATAGTACATATCATATATGCTCATGACATGTGTCATTTTCTTTACACTTAAAATAATGTCAAACAACCTACTTTTTGTTTTTCACATTTACCCTTATTTGATGTATTGACTTTACTTTAATTTATTAATTTTTTTTACAGCTTTCTTAATACTTTGTAAAAAAATATTATATTAATTTATTAAATATTTAAAAAATCAAAATAAAAAACCTATCTCAAGTAGTCCCCACCTCCTTCCCCAAAGCCCAGCACCTCCATCTTGATCACCATCTCCTTAGCGCCACCCATCCCCACCCCACCCTCTCATTACGGAACTTGATATCTTATATTCCATTAGCTAGCTTATCTGAGTTTTCCCATCCTTTAAAATCTTATAGTCAAATACCATAATTCAACAAATCCTTCCTCCATGTAACATGGAAACAGAGAACTTTGACCAGATTTTCCCCAATTTTCAACTAAACTAGCTGATTTTCAACTTCACACTTCTCTGAAAACAACCAAACAGACACCCTCAGAGAAATGGATTTCCCGTTTGAAGTCTGAAAAGTCTCAGATTACTGAAAACAAGACCAAAAGCTTATGTAACTTGTGAATAAGATTGATAGTGTTCTAAGTATGAGGAGGTGGTGAGGAGAAGGTAGGGTAGGGTGGGGTGGGAATGGGTGGTGCTAAGGAGATGGTGGTCAAGATGGAGGTGCTGGGCTTTGGGGAAGAAGGTGGGGACGGCTTGAGATAGGTTTTTTTATTTTGATTTTTTAAATATTTAATAAATTAATATAATAATTTTTTACAAAGTATTAAGAAAGCTGTAAAAAAAATTAATAAATTAAAGTAAAGTCAATATATGGAAAACAAAAGGTAGGTTGTTTGGCATTGTTTTAAGTGTAAAAAAAATAACACATGTCATTAGGGAAAGAGAGAAGGTCCAAAAGAGAAAGTTAGAGAGAAGGATATTAGGATTCCCTAAGATTGCTAAAGTACTTACTGTTTTTTTGGCTAAAGTCAAATGATACACAAATACAAAGGCAAAAGCAAAAGCACAAACTCAAAAGCAAAGGCAAGAAAAGTCAGATCTTATCTTCTTCTATTGGTAAGTAAAATATATGTTTAAAATATACTAATCACATTTATTATTTGTCAAACATGATTTATTAAATCAGTGAGTAACGTGACCTACTTTATGTCTTAAAAAGTTAATAAAAAGAGAAGGAAAGCCAGCCATTCTCAGTTGTGAGCCCCACGACCTTATCACCACCACCAAGGTTCTTTCTCAACATGAAAATACTTCAACACCCTCCCTCCTCTTCTTCTAGCCACCGAGAGCATTAAATACCTTCTCTTTTTTTGATTGAGAAGTACACTTTTCTTTCTTCTTCCATTTTCATTCCCTAAACACCAAAAGCTTCACAGTTTTCATTTGACCGCCATGGAATTGGACAACCACCACCACAACAAACTGGTCAAGCCGCCCCACGTCGCCATTGTCCCTACCCCAGGCATAGGCCACCTCATCCCCCTCGTCGAACTAGCCAAACGACTCGTCGTCCACCATAGCTTCACCTTCACATTCATCATCCCAAACGACGGGTCGCACTTGGCACCCCAAAAGAAACTCCTTGAATCCCTAGATCCCCAAGCCATATCACACATCTTCCTCCCTCCTGTGAGCTTCCATGACCTCCCTGAGGACGTTATAATCGAAACCAAAATCGCCCTCACCATGACTCGGTCCCTCTCGGCTCTACACGACTCGTTTAAGGTCCTAGCCGAGTCAACTCGGCTAGTGGCACTTGTTGTAGATCTTTTTGGCGCGGACGCCTTTGATGTGGCCAATGAATTCCACGTGTCCCCTTACATTTTTTTCCCCTCTTCAGCTATGGGCTTGTGGCTTAGTTTTCATCTCCCACACCTTGACGAGACCACTACTTATGAGTATAAGGATTTGCCTGAAAAGGTTCAACTTCCGGGTTGTGTTCCCCTTCACGGTCGGGATTTCCCGGACCCTTTTCAGGACCGGTCCAATGAGGCCTATAAAGCGATTATTCAGATTTGCAAGAAGTATAGGTCGGCTGCTGGGATCATGGTCAATAGCTTTGTGGACTTGGAACCGGGTGCTTTCAAGGCTTTCAAGGAGCAAGGACAAGGTTTTCCACAGGTTTACCCGGTTGGACCGGTAATAAAGACCGATTCAGCTGATGGTTTTGAAGAGAATGAGTGTTTGAAGTGGCTCGACAAGCAGCCCAATGGGTCAGTATTGTTTGTTTCATTTGGGAGTGGTGGGAGTTTCTCACAAGAGCAAATGACTGAATTAGCCTTTGGACTTGAATTGAGTGGGCAGAGGTTTATTTGGGTTGTTAAGAGCCCAAATGAGACAGCTAAAAATGCAAGCTATTTTAGTATCCAAGGCACTGAGGACCCTTGTGGTTTTTTACCGCATGGGTTTTTGGAGAGGATCAAAGAGGTGGGCCTAGTGGTCCCATCTTGGGCCCCACAAGTGCAAGTGCTGAGTCACGGGTCTACGAGTGGGTTTTTGACCCATTGCGGGGGAACTCAACATTGGAGAGTATTGTGCATGGTGTGCCTTTGATTGCTTGGCCGCTCTATGCAGAGCAGAAGATAAACAAGGTGCTACTAGTTGATGGTTTGAAGGTTGCTTTGGGGGTGCAAGTGAATGAGAAGGGCATAGTGGAGAGGCAAGATATTGCTAAGGCTGTTAGGGCACTGATTGAAGGAGATGAAGGGAAATTGCTAAGGAGCAAAATGAAAGAGTTTGAAGAGGCAGCCAAAGTGGTTTTGACCCAAGAAGGGTCTTCTACCAAGTCACTTGCTGAGGTGGCTCAGATATGGAAGGGCCTCAAGATCTAATGTAACCTAGCTAATGTGTAAATTAATAATGCTTTATTTAACTATTTGGATGTATTCTTCAAGGCTGCGTTTTCTTCAAGTAAAATAATTCAAACTCATTTTCTTCGATTCTACATGTTATTAGACTTAAATGGGGACAAAACCTGTGCAAGGATTAAAGGGAAAAAGACGTGCAAGAAATTTAAGTTGTTTATAAACTCACCTAATTATTTCTACGGGTCATGCTAGGGATACCAACTTGGGAGACCAACTTGGGATACCAACTCTCTAATAGAGGTGGAGCCCACCAATGCAATGGGTCCCACTCTCTATTAGAGAGTTGGTATCCCAAGTTGGGTCTCCTTAGCATTTTCCTATTTCTACCAAACAAACCACTTACGTTAACTTCATTCGTTGACTCACCGCTTCAAAAAGGTAGATGGATCATCACGTGGTTTTGTTGTTTATGTTTTTTTAAGGAGGCATAGGAATGGGAATTCAATTGCTTTCTCATGTTTGGTAAGTCTGGGAATGGGAAACGGATTCCTGGCACATGGGAAAGTAGGGGGGAAAGTGATGCCCCCCTCTTAACTTGGGTTTTGCTTTCCCTCCTCATGGGAAAGTTTGGGAAAATGTGCCAACATTCAATGCACAATTTTCATGACTATTTTGTCCATATGAACAATTTATAATTACAACGTATCATTAAATGCATTCTTTTTTTATTTGATTTAATATGGGTATAATTGGAAAATTATACAAATTTTGTTTTCCATTCCTACTCAAAACAAACATGGGAAAGGAAACAAAGTGAAATCTCCCGATTACTTTCCCAACATTACCAAACGTGGGAAAGGAATCTTTCATTCCCATTCCTTGGGAAATGACATGGGAATTGATTTTCCCTCAAATCCATTCCGTGAACCAAACGGGGCCTTATAGTTTTTGTTTTATATATGTTATCTTGGGATGGGATGGGAGGTACACTTGGTGCCTTCGGATGGGATGGGAGGTACACTTAGTTTTTTTGTTAAAGAAAAGGAAAAATGATAACTTTGTTGAATTTAATATGATAAATGATGACTTAGTTGGAGGAGTTTATTAAATTCAACTAAGTTATCATTTTTTGTTATCATATTAAATTCAACTAATTTATCATAATTTTCAAAAGCGAAAATTTAAAGAAATGGAAAAATGATAACTTAGTTGAATTTAATATGATAAATGATGACTTTTTTTTTTTTTTTTGAAAGGGAACGATATATTGAGAAAAGAAATTAAAGCAAGTTACAATCTTTGGCGAGAACGTCCTGGATCGAAACAGGAGGGTCCTCTAGCCAAGAGACAAAGTCATTAACAGACAAAGAAAATCTAGCGAGGCGGTGAGCAGCCCCATTACAGAGACGCGAGACATGGGAGAGCGTTGTCTCGGGGAGATGACTCAAAAGAGTCCTAGCATCTTCAAAGAGATGGCAGAGAGGAGAGGAATCAGGACTTAGTTGGAGGAGTTTCTCACAAGAGCAATTGACTAAATTAGCCGCCTTGGGATGGGATTATCAAATCAAACTGTCATGAAAATACCTTTAACACCCCTATCCGACGGTCTCCAAAATCCTCACTCCTCATCAACACTCCCATCCATCCGACGGTCAACAAAAATCTTCCTTAAATAAACACAAACCCCACACAAAAAGCCAACCATGGAACCCACCCATGTGGCCATCGTCCCCACTCAAAAACTCAACGAACCTCACACAAATTAAAGCAACCATGGAATTAGACACCCAGCAAAAACTCAACCAACCCCATGTGGCCATCGTCCCCACTCCAGGACTGGGCCATCTCATTCCCCTAGTCGAGCTGGCCAAACGACTCGTCGTCCAGCACAACTTCACCGTCACCTTCATCATCCCCAACGACGGGTCGTCCATGACCCCGCAAAAGAAAGTCCTCCAAGCCCTTAACCCTAAGTCCATATCCTCCACCTTTCTCCCTCCCGTAGACTTTGGTGACCTCCCGGAGGACGCTCAGATCGAAGCACGAATCGCCCTCACCATGACTCGGTCCCTCTCCGCTCTACGCGACTCTCTCAAGGTCCTAGCTGAGTCAACTCGCCTAGTGGCACTTGTAGTTGACGTTTTTGGAGCGGACGCTTTTGATGTGGCTAATGAATGCCATGTGGCGCCCTACGTGTTTTGGTCAACGAACGCTATGGCTTTGTCTTTTGGCCTTTATTTGCCACGGCTTGATGAGACCACTTCTTGTGCATTTAGGGACATGCCTAAACCGGTTCAGTTTCCGGGTTGCGTGCCACTCCACGGTAGGGATTTTCTGGACCCAGTTCATGATAGGAGCAATCAAGGCTACAAATCCACACTTCAGATATGCAACAAGTTGAAGTTGGCTTCGGGGATTATGGTAAACAGCTTTACAGATTTGGAACCGGAAATTTTTAAGGCTTTGAAGGAAGCCCAAGGATCACAAGGGTTTCCACCGGTTTTCCCCGTCGGACCGGTAATTAAACTCGGTTCAGCCCTTGTATCAGATGGGGATCACGAGTGTTTGGGATGGCTAGACAGGCAGCCACGTGGGTCAGTGTTATTTGTTGCGTTCGGGAGCGGTGGGACCCACTCACTTGAGCAGATGAAGGAGCTGGCTCTAGGTCTTGAAATGAGTGGGCAGAGGTTTCTTTGGGTTGTGAGGAGCCCAAATGAGACAGCTAAAAATGGTACTTATTTTACTTCTTCTTCCACTGCCCGACAGAAGGACCCATTGGGGTTTTTGCCTGATGGGTTTTTGGAGAGGACCAAAGAGGTGGGCCTAGTGGTCCCATCTTGGGCCCCACAAGTTCATGTGCTGAGTCACGCGTCAACGGGTGGGTTTTTGACCCATTGTGGGTGGAATTCAACATTGGAGAGCATAGTGAATGGCGTGCCGTTGATTGCTTGGCCGCTCTATGCAGAGCAACATATTAACGCAGTTTTGTTGGCTGATGATATAAAGATTGCATGGAGGGTCGAGATGAATGACAAGGGCATAGTGGAGGGCCAAGATATTGCCAGGTATGCAAGGGGATTGATTGAAGGAGATGAAGGGAGATTGCTGAGGAACAAGATGAAAGAGCTGAAAGAGGCAGCCAAAGTGGCCTTGAGCCAAGGAGGGTCGTCCACAGAATCACTGGCTGAGGTGGCTGAGTTATGGAAGGGCCACAATTGAGATTAGGTTTTGGTTTCTTTTAATTTTTCTCGTATGTGTTCCAATGGAGATTGAAGGGGAAGTTGCTCCAAAACAAGATGAAAGATATCTGCCTTTGAGTGAAAAGGGTCCTCTGCTACACCACTTGTCCATATCGCTCAAATAAAAAAGTGATTCATCTATTAGTATTCTTATAAAATATTTGATGATTGTTGTTTAAAATATTCAAATACATGTGCGTTGTAAAATTATGTATATGATATTTGAAAATTGTTGTTTTAATGATTATCATACATTAAACTCTGTTGTATAATTCATCACTAGCACATAATATAGTAACACCTCACCCTAAACCCGAAACCCTCACTCTAACCTCGTTACTAGGCCCTTAGCTTCAACAAGATATTATACTTAACATGACTTGTTAATTAAAATCTAAGAAAACTCTTGCATGTATTAAGTTGTCATGACAGTTTGGAAAAAAAAAAAAACAAAGGTTTGTCACATAGAAATGGTGCCATTTCATCTAGGATTTTTTAGAGGCTTTTGAAAGACATATTTCTTACTCACTGTTAAACTTAAATGGGTGGACCCGTTCTGAGTCTAAACCAACCCGACTAAAACCCTGCCCCAACGTTTACCAAAACCCTACACGAAAGGTTTTCGCTCCTCCCAGCTTCCACAATTATCAACGAGATTGATGGGGAAGTTGCTCCAAAACAAGATGAAAGATATCTGGCTTTGAGTGAAAACGGTCCTCTGCTACACCACTTGTCCATATCGCTCAAATAAAAAAGTGATTCATCTATTAGTAGTCTTATAAAATATTTTATGATTGTTGTTTAAAATATTCAAATACATGTGCCTTGTAAAATTATGTATATGATATTTGATGATTGTTGTTTTAATGATTATCATACGTTAAACTGTTTTGTATAATTCATCACTAGCACATAATATGGTAACACCTCACCCTAAACCCTAAACCCTCACTCTAAACCTCGTTGCCATGTATATTCAGTTGGTGCCCTTGTAGAAAATCTGTGCAACATACTATGGTCATCATTTGCCTTGTGAGAATGAAATGTTATGAACTGTAATTTGTTTCATTTTATAGGTTACTGCATATTCTGATGGCCATGTCAAGGTCTATGAAGAATTGGCAACTTCAGGTGATCATTTATGTAATTCAGTCTGATAATATACTACGGCCCGGAAATAAGTCTTGTTGTTTTGTTATAATAAGGACATCTACAACTTAAGTGGTAATGTACTTTCATATTCAGTGAACCAAAATAAGTGTAATTAGGTCAGGCTTGGCTTAGCTACCGGGTCTGCTAACCAAACCTTAGCGGACCCTATAGACTTCAACTCTTGTGATGAGAAGAATGACATGTGATCTTGTCATGTGGATGAAAGACATTCCGCGTAAGCATCAATTGACAAAAGGGGCGAGGATCTTATGACCTTTCGTGTAAGATTGGGTAGTTTTTGGGTTTGTTTATAGAAATTAAATAGTATAAGGTTTATCTGTATCGTTAATGCTAAGAATGAGTATATAACTAAATATATCGAGAGGGGCAGCTACTAAACAAAACCACTTACGTTAACTTCATTCAAAGACTCACCACGTGGTTTAGTTGTTTATTTTTTTTGTTTAAATAAATCTTTATTGTTATCTTGGGAGGTACAGTTGGTGAATCATAATTTTCAAAAGCGAAACTTAAAAAAGAAAAAAGAAGAAAGAAGAAGAAGAAGAAGAAGACAGTTTTGTCAATCATAGGGAATTTGTACTACCTAGCTACAATAATCCGATACATTTAACTTAGTTGATTTTGGGTTTTCGGAGGAAATGCTATAATGAGCTTGGTGCGAAGCTTGGTTACTCTTCTAAGAATTTAATATGATAAAAATATTGGTTGAAAACGTAGGGTATATTGGATTCATTTTCCTGAAAGTTAAAAAGATTATCATATAATACAGACACGAGTTAGGTCAGTTGGCAGCTCGATTCATTGCACCAAAGTGCAAGTACCCGTACCCATATATTAGATTAATTTAAAATAATTTAGACTATAATTTGTATTTTTTTAATATAAAAAAACTATATAATTGTAATGGGAAACCCTTACAATTAGTAAAGAAGTACACCTACTACAATGCCGACGATATATCTCATCTATTTTTATGTTAGAAAGCATCGATCAATTGTCCATAGATTGCAAAACACTTTACATCTTTTAAATTATATGTATCTAAATTTTATATGTTCTCTTATTCTAAGCAAATTCAATCCAAAATAACGAACTCAAAGGGTCTTAAATTCCGCTAATACCTCATTGTCGTAAGTTTTGTTACCACAACAAATAAGTAACGATATTTTTCTCCAAAAAAAACAGTAATTTATTTCATAGATACTACTACAAGATCTGGATACAGACACTAACCCAGAATCGGAGAGTTTATACACATACAAAGATAAGAGTTGTTACATCACAAATTGCATAAAAATAAAAATAAAGCAAAGCAAGTTTTTATTAAAAAAAGCACACAAAGGTTGAAATGTGTCCAAATATGGTTGAAGCGCTTCATGCATGGATCACTTGTGGCCCTTCAATATCTCAGCAACCTCAGCTAGAGATTTTGTAGACGACCCTTGTTGGCTCAAGGCCACTTTGGCTGCCTCTTTCAACTCCTTCATCTTGTTCCTTAGCAATCTCCCTTCATCTCCTTCAATCAAGCCCCTTGCATACTTGGCAATATCTTGGGCCTCCACTATGCCTTTGTCATTCATCTTGACCCTCCATGCAATCTTTATATCATCAGCCAACAAAACTGCGTTCGTGGGTTGCTCTGCATAGAGTGGCCAAGCAATCAAAGGCACGCCGTTCACAATGCTCTCCAGTGCTGAGTTCCACCCACAATGGGTCAAGAACCCACCTGTTGACTCGTGACTCAGCACTTGGATTTGTGGGGCCCATGATGGTACAACTAAGCCCACCCCTTTGGTTCTTTCCAAAAACCCATCAGGCAAAAAACTCAGCGGGTCCTTCTGTTGGGCATCAGAACTAAAATAAGTACCATTTTTAGTTGTCTCATTTGGGGTCCTCACAACCCAAAGAAACCTCTGGCCGCTCATTTCAAGCCCTAAAGCCAACTCCTTCATCTGCTCAAGTGAGTGGGTCCCGCCGCTCCCAAATGCTACAAAGAACACGGACCCACGTGGCTGACTGTCTAGCCAGCTTAAGCACTCGTGCTCTCCATCTGATTTACAGGTTGAACTGGGTTTAATGTGGCTGACTGTCTAGCCAGCTTAAGCACTCGTTCTCTCCATCTGATTTGCCGGTTGAACTGGGTTTAATCATCGGTCCGACTGGATAAACCGCTGGAAAACCTTGTGACACTTGGGCATCTTTCAAAGCCTTAAAAATTTCAGGTTCCAAATCCATGAAGCTGTTTACCATAATCCCATAAGCCAACTTGAACTTCTTGCTTACACTAAGTGTGGCTTTGTATCCCAGATTGTTCCTATCATGAACCGGGTCCAGAAAATCTCTACCGTGGAGCGGTACGCAACCGGGGAGCTGGACTGGTTCAAGCATGTCCTGGTATGCACAAGAAGTGGTCTCGTCAAGGCTTGGTAAATAAAACCCAAAAGACAAAGACATTGCATTCGATGACCAAAACAAGTAAGGTGCCACGTTGCATTCAATGGCCACATCAAATGCGTCCGAGCCCAAAACGTCAACTATAAGTGCTACTACACGAGTTGACTCATTTAGGACCTTTAGAGAGTCTCGTAGAGCGGAGAGGGATCGAGTCATGGTGAGTATGATTCGTGCTACGATATGAGCGTCCTTGGGGAGGTCATCGAGGTCTATGGGAGGGAGAAAGGTGGATGATATGGATTGAAGGTTAACTGCTTCAAGGATTTTCTTTTGGGGCGTCATGGATGACCCGTCATTTGGGATGATGAATGTGACGGCGAAGTTGTGGTGGACGACGAGTCGTTTGGCTAGCTCGATGAGGGGAGTGAGATGGCCTAGTCCTGGACTTGGGACAATGGCCAGATGGGGTGGTTTGAGCGTTTGCTGGATGTTGAAATCCATGGTGGGTGTAATGAATTGGCTTTGTGTTTGTCTTCAGTATTTAAGGAAGATATTGTGGGACTGAAAAACAAATGAAGATTGTGGGACTATTTATAAGGAAACGTATGCATCCATTGCAAGGAAGTTAAAGAGCTATTGCGGGCCAACCAGATTTTCAAAAGCGAAACTTTTTAAAAAAGAAAGAAAGAAAAAAAGAAGAAGAAGACAATTTTGTCAAACATATTCATAGGGAATTTGTACTACCTTGGCCGAGCTATAATAATCCGATACATTTAACTTAGTTGATTTTGGGTTTTCGTAGGAAATGCTATAATGAGCGGAAGGACTTTCTCACGAGAGCAGATGACTAAATTAGCCTTGGGATTATCAAATCAAACTGATGGAGAACAAAAGTCTTGGTTTCCATCATGAAAATACCTTTAACACCCCTATCCGACGGTCAACAAAAATCTTCCTTGAATACTTAGGCAAACACAAACCCCACACAAATTAAACCAACCATGGAATTACACACCCAGCAAAAACTCAACCCACCACCCCATGTGGCCATCGTCCCCACTCCGCCATCATAAAACATTTGATGATTGTTGTTTCAAATATTCAAATACGTGTGCCTTGTAAGATTATGTGATCCATCTATTCGCAGTCTATATGATATTTGACGATTGTTGTTTTAAGGGGATGTATTTAATTGAGATTTAAAAAGATTATTTTGGAATTAAAAAGTCTTGCGGATTTAAGCATAATATAATTACTTATAGGATTTTTTTTAAGGCTTAATTATGTACATGCCATCTGTGCTTTCCAACTTGTCTTAGATTACCATCTGTGTTTACAAATGTCTCAAAATACCCCCAACCTTTGAAAAACGATCTCGAGTTACCCATTCCGTCAATATTATAGACGTTCCATTATAATGTGGAGTTTCACCCACAAAAATATTATAATAATGATAACAACTTAGTTTTTTTTTCTTCTTATTATTTGATATGATTAGACGTTTCTTGATGTGCCACTGCCTCTGACTTGTCATTCTGATTTCCCCAATTTTCAATATTATAACAGTGCAACAGTATTGTACTGGATTTCACCTTCTTGTCGTTGATCGTTTTGGTGCCGACACGTTTGATGTGGCACTTGTCATGTATAAAAATAGAATAAAGTGAACTCATTTTTGCTTCAATAATCAAATGACTATGATAAAAAAAAAAGCAAATCTTTCATCATTATGATTGCTAAAGTACATACTATTAACAAGTAATATTACAGAAGACATATCATATATGAAATTAATGAAGACACTAGAAAATGGTCAAATAATATGCATGATGTGAGTGGTGATGTCGAATGATACACGAAATGACAAATTCGAAAGCAAAAACTAGAAATACATGAGTAAATCAGATCTTATCTTCTTTTATTGATAAGTAAAATATATGTTTAAAATATACTAATCACATTTATTTATTAAATTACGTGACCTAGTTTATGTCTTAAAAAGTTTATAAAACAATGAAAAGACAAGGTAAGCCAACCATTCTCAGTCGTGAGCCTCACGACCTTATCACCACCAAGGTTCTTTCTCAACATGAAAATACTTCAACACCCTCCTCCTCTTCTTCTAGCCACCAACAGACAGTGATCTCAATCTTCATTAAGTACCTTCTCAAACCACCAAACCCAAGTATACTTTTCTTTCTTCTTCCATTTTCATTCCCTAAACACCAAAAGCTTCACAGTTTTCATTTGATCGCCATGGAATTGGACAACCACCACCACAACAAACTGATCAAGCCACCCCACATCGCCATTGTCCCTAGCCCAGGCATAGGCCACCTCATCTCCCTCGCCGAACTAGCCAAACGACTCGTCGTCCACTGTAGCTTCACCTTCACATTCATCATCCCAAATGACGGGTCGCACTTGGCACCTCAAAAGAAAGTCCTTGAAGCCCTAGATCCCCAAGCCATATCACACATCTTCCTCCCTCCTGTGAGCTTCCATGACCTCCCTGAGGACGTTATAATCGAAACCAAAATCGCCCTCACCATGACTCGGTCCCTCTCGGCTCTACACGACTCGTTTAAGGTCCTAGCCGAGTCAACTCGGCTAGTGGCACTTGTTGTAGATCTTTTTGGCGCGGACGCCTTTGATGTGGCCAATGAATTCCACGTGTCCCCTTACATTTTTTTCCCCTCTTCAGCTATGGGCTTGTGGCTTAGTTTTCATCTCCCACACCTTGACGAGACCACTACTTATGAGTATAAGGATTTGCCTGAAAAGGTTCAACTTCCGGGTTGTGTTCCTCTTCACGGTCGGGATTTCCCGGACCCTTTTCAGGACCGGTCCAATGAGGCCTATAAAGCGATTATTCAGATTTGCAAGAAGTATAGGTCGGCTGCTGGGATCATGGTCAATAGCTTTGTGGACTTGGAACCGGGTGCTTTCAAGGCTTTCAAGGAGCAAGGACAAGGTTTTCCACAGGTTTACCCGGTTGGACCGGTAATAAAGACCGATTCAGCTGATGGTTTTGAAGAGAATGAGTGTTTGAAGTGGCTCGACAAGCAGCCCAATGGGTCAGTATTGTTTGTTTCATTCGGGAGTGGTGGGAGTTTCTCACAAGAGCAAATGACTGAATTAGCCTTTGGACTTGAATTGAGTGGGCAGAGGTTTATTTGGGTTGTTAAGAGCCCAAATGAGACAGCTAAAAATGCAAGCTATTTTAGTATCCAAGGCACTGAGGACCCTTGTGGTTTTTTACCGCATGGGTTTTTGGAGAGGATCAAAGAGGTGGGCCTAGTGGTCCCATCTTGGGCCCCACAAGTGCAAGTGCTGAGTCACGGGTCTACGAGTGGGTTTTTGACCCATTGCGGGTGGAACTCAACATTGGAGAGTATTGTGCATGGTGTGCCTTTGATTGCTTGGCCGCTCTATGCAGAGCAGAAGATAAACAAGGTGCTACTAGTTGATGGTTTGAAGGTTGCTTTGGGGGTGCAAGTGAATGAGAAGGGCATAGTGGAGAGGCAAGATATTGCTAAGGCTGTTAGGGCACTCCAAGGCGCTGAGGACCCTTGTGGTTTTCTACCACATGGGTTTTTGGAGAGGACCAAAGAGGTAGGCCTAGTGGTCCCATCTTGGGCCTCACAAGTCCAAGTGTTGAGTCATGGGTCAACGGGTGGGTTTTTGACCCATTGCGGGTGGAACTCAACATTAGAGAGCATTGTGCATGGTGTGCCTCTGATTGCTTGGCCGCTCTATGCAGAGCAGAAGATGAACAAGGTGCTACTAGTTGATGGTTTGAAGGTTGCTTTGGAGGTGCAAGTGAATGAGAAGGGCATAGTTGAGAGGCAAGATATTGCAAAGGATGTTAGGGCACTGATTGAAGGAGATGAAGGGAAATTGCTAAGGAGCAAAATGAAAGAGCTTGAAGAGGCAGCCAAAGTGGCTTTGACCCAAGAAGGGTCTTCAACCAAGTCACTTGCTGAGGTGGCTCAGATATGGAAGGGCCTCAAGATCTAATGTAACCTAGCTAATGTGTAAATTAATAATGGTTTCATTACAGATGGAATGAACATATGTGGTTTCCTTGGCCTTTATCTTAATTGAAAATAATTTGTTATCTTTTCCCACTTCATTCTGTCATCAAAACATCACTTTGCTTTTGGATATCGAAGTTTGGTTTCTTTGTTTAATTTTTTTTTTCCTGGTTTTAATGGTTTTTAGAAAATAAAAATAAAATTGTTGCATTCTTTTAAGGCTTCAAATTTATCACAAAGCAAATAAGAAATATTTTATTTAACTATTTGAATGTATTTTTCAAGGCTGAATTTTCTTCGATTCTACATGTTATTAGAGAAGAGTTAAAGGGAACAACAGGCACAAAGATTAAAGGGGAAAACAGGTGCAAGAAATTAAAGTTGTTTATAAACTCAGCTAATTTCTCCCACCAAAACTTGTGTATAAACTCACCTAATTATTTCTACCAGATTGTCACATGATATTCCTACGAATCTATCAACAGTTTGAAGCACCAATATTTTGTTTTATAATGTTATCTTCGGATGGGAGGTACAGTTGGTCAATCAGATTTTCAAAAGCGAAACTTTTTAAAAAAGAAAGAAAGAAAAAAAGAAGAAGAAGACAGTTTTTGTCAATCATATTCATAGGGAATACTATATGGAAAATGCTAGAGGCACCAACTTTAGGCACCAATTTGGGCACCAACTCTCTAATAGAGCATGTGACTCGTTGTATTGGCGGGCTCCATTGATTTTGGTCTTTCGGAGGAAATGCTATAATGAGTGGGGGGACTTTCTCACAAGAGCAGATGACTAAATTAGCCTCGGGATTATCAAATCAAACTGATGGAGAATAAAAGTCTTGGTATCTATCATGAAAATACCTTTAACACCCCTATCCGACGGTCAATAAAAATCTTCCTTGAATACTTAGGCAAACACAAACCCCACACAAATTAAACCAACCATGGAATTACACACCTAGCAAAAACTCAACCCACCACCCCATGTGGCCATCGTCCCCACTCCGCCATCATAAAATATTTGATGATTGTTGTTTCAAATAGGCTTATTTACTGTAGCACCCCCTGAAACTTCGGTCAAATCTCACTTTACCCCCCAAAGTTAAAATGACCCACTTAACCCCCTTGACCGTGGTTTTGTGTTCCACTTTACTCCCTACCGTTATCTCCGTTAATAACTATGTCAGTTTTGATGACGTGGCATGGCTATTTTAGACTCTTTACAACAAGTGATGATGTGTCATATAAAGGGCCCACTTTTTTCGCTTAAGTGGAATAAAATATATTATATAATAATATAATTACTTGTTTAGTTAAAAAATATATAAAAATTGAAAAAATTAATACATAAAAATCTTCTTCTCCATCTCTCTCCCTTGAACTCTCCCTCCCCTAACTTCATAACCCAAAGCCACCCTCACCATCACATGGTCGAGACTGACTTTCCACCATCGCCACCGCCAAAACAACAACGCCTCCAAATGACGCCGGCGAAACCGAAAGTGTTGGGCCGACGAGGATCTGTTTGGTTTTGGAGTTCTGAGGGTCTGTTTGGTCGAAGAGGGTCTGTTACAATTTGTTTTATGTCACTACTACTTAAATAACAAAATTAAATTAAAAAGAAAAAAACCAACCAACAGAAAATAATCAAAGCTCCAACCTCTCCACGCACCCCCAGCCACCTCCTCACCCATCCACAGCCCGATCCCTCTACCAGCCACCTCCTCGCCGATTAGCCCAGACAATGGGCAAGTATTCTGTCATTAACCCCAACAAGGGCTTTCCTATACTTGATCTCAGTGGAGAAGTTCTCCTTATTCAAAAACCCTTGGGATGACTCGTTGTAGAGAAAATAGGGTTTGGGTGTTGCCCAAATAGTGAAGAAATTGGGTTTGGGTTTCGAGTTGGACCGATTGGGTCTGGGTGCAGAGGAGGCTTTCTTCTTCCTTCATTCTTGGAAGTGGTTGTTTTGTTTGCCCTGCTTCTTGGCTGGTGTGGCGA